ACCCACCGTCCAAGCTCTTTGGCTACTGTCTGGGTCAGCCCAATCACTCCAGCCTTGGATGCAGCATAGTTTGTCTGCCCCAAGTTCCCCACCTACAAGTGAATCACAGGCGAGGGATGAGTTGGGCATCCCGAGGAGGGGACTCTTCTCTGTACACCCCCTTGGCTGGCTGACCTTACCCTAACTCAGCCTGACCTTTCCAATGATGCTACTGATGTTGATGATGGAGCCGTGACGACCACTGGCCACCAGGGCTTGGGCGGCAGCCTGCGTGACTAGGAAGATGCCCTGGCAGGAGAGATCAGCAGCAGTGAGAGCCCTCCTCCAGCTCCCTCCCCATGCGAGAGGGGTGAGAGGTCACAGGCGCAGGGGTCACCACCTTGAGGTTGACGGCCACGACTCTGTCCCAGTCCTCCTCAGACATGTGGAGCAGAAACTCATCCCTGGTGATGCCGGCGCAGGACACCACGACAGATGGCGGGCGAGAAAAGCGGGCCTATGGGAGAGGGTGGTCACACACCAAAAGCCCACCCAAAGCTGGGCGCAGTGCAGCCAACTGTAGAGCTTTAACGGGGCGAGGTGGCCTGGTGTTCACCTGCACTTGCTCCAGCAGGCGCCCGACGGCCCTGGCCTCTGACACGTCAGCCTGGAAGACAGCGTGCTTCCCGCCGGGTGCCCCTTCCTCACTCTCCGGGCTGCCTAGCAGCCGCACCGTCTCCCGTGCCGCGGCCGCGTCCAAGTCACAGGCGGCCACACTGGCCCCCTCACAGGCCAGGCGCTCACAGACCGCACGGCCGATGCCACTACCTGCACCTGAGGTGGGATGGAACACGTGGGGGAGGGGCAAGGGTCAGAGGTCACAGGGCGCTGTTAGTAAGATTTCGACCAGGGACCAGAGGTCACAGGGGTCGCGGAGTTGAGAACGCACCCTGATATCACTCCGGCACCCCTACCCGCCCAGGGAGAGCACCCCCCACCCCCGACCTGTGACCAGGGCCAGCGCGGAGCGGAGCCGGAGCTGAGACGCCATGGCGGGTGGCGGGTGGGCGGTCACCAGAGCGCTGAGCCAATCCGAGCACAGAGAGGGCGTGGCGAGTGCAAAGGCGGGGCCAATCGACTCCGGCCATCTGCGGCCGCCAGCGCGGGCTGACCTCCCACCGCGCAGGCGTGGCCACACAGCATCGCTGGGGTACTTGGGGTGCGGGGAAGACTAGGGGCCTTCTCCCCCCCAAAGAAAAGACAAAGACTGCATGTGAGGCGGAATATCCAAAGACTTTATTTCAGGTCACCACCCCTCCCCCTCGATTCAAACACAGTGATACAAAATGAATACAAACAAGCCAACAAAAAAATCAGGCGAGATTACCAACTGACCCTCTCCCCACCCCAGCCCCCAATCACTCCCAAATCAGGACACGATTGACGTTTATCCCCTCGCTCCTCTGGTTCCTCCCTCTGTCCAGGGTTCTGGTCTTCCCTTGAAGCCTCCAGAAACCGGTGGGAGAGGGAGATGGACCTTGGAGAAACCCTACGTGTGGCAGCTTGGTCCTCTGAGAACAAGTGGGGTAGGGGACACTGCGTCGGCTGCCATCACCGCCTCCCTGCCAGCCTTCTTCATGGCCCCATTCAGTACCCAACACAATGGTCCCTCTGGCCGAGCTTTCTGACCTCTAGAGCCCCCAGCCAAATGTTAAAGGCCCAAATGCCGAAGTCTCCATTCTCTGAGACTGCAATGCCTTCCTCTGGCAGATGCCCCTGGCCAGACCCCCAGTCTCCAGAGCTCTGACCTGGAGTTAGGGGAAGAGGTTTAGAGCAGGGGGTGGGGGCAGTTCATCTCACCTCTCACTCGAGGTGGGCAATCAGCACCATCATGACAACACCACCCAGCAGCCCCAGCACCTCCAGAAGTGACTGTAATGGTGACGCCTCCCTCAACAGCTCAGGCAACACGGACACTGTTGCTACATAGATAAAACCGCCTGCGGTGAACGGCAGAATCCAGCCAGGACCTGCGCCTCCCGCACCATCACTGCCCACTGCCCCTCCTTCGGTTAGAAGGGCACAGGCTGTGCCTGCCAGTGCCCCCACTGCTGTCAGTAGTTGTAGACGCATCGCCTGGTGGAAAGCAGAGAGAGGCACTTATCAATAACTAAAGGTTATAGCAGTTTCAATATATGGCTGTTGAACTACAGGGGTAGGAAACCAAAAGTCAAAGAAAAAAGGGGGTGTGTGGTTTGTCTAGAATAAATATTTCTTCAAAAATCTTAAAGGTTCAAAGAGGTTCTTTCCACAGACTTTCTAAGGTCTGATTCAGCAGCAATGAGTGTGTATGTGTGTGTGTTTGTTAGGTCCCCATAAATCATCTGACAGTTCAAGAAATACTGAGGCATAGGACAAAGAAAACAGAGCTTTTCTCCCCTCAACTCTAGCGGATCTGTTGATGACAGTACAACTCGTTTGGAACTAATGAGAAGGAGTCTGGGTCGGGAGTGAACGAGCAGTGATAAAGGATTTGAGACCACTGTCTTTGATGGACATCACCACCAACCTGCTTTTTGCTGCAGCCAGACTGGACCAAGATGGCAAAATCCCCGACCTCATGGGGCACTTCATGCAGCAGGACGGTCATTGTGGTCAGAATCCCCAGCCCCTGGCCCCCTCGAAAGGAAGCACCAATGGCCAGGCCATCTGTGAAGTTGTGTGCCAAGTCAGCAGCCAGATTCAAGTACCCGGACACACGCAGATCTGTACGGGAGAGGCAGACAAAATGACCAGAACATCCATCGCCCCTATCCCAGTCAGACTTCTCACACCACGGCTCAGAGACCACTTCACCCCTTGGGGTTTCCCCGACACCTGTCACCACCTGCACGTGTATTCTGTGTGACCCACTGCCAGCCCCTTGGTGTTTCCCTGACGCCTGTCATCACCCACACACACATTCTGTGTGAGCCACGATGGTCCCCCTGCCCAGGCTTCTCCCCGACCCCGACCCTCACCTGAGCCTGTTTTTTCTTCCTCAGGGTTCTGAGCTCCCACTGACCCATCTTTGGGCCCCGTGCTTCCTCCTTTCCTCTTCCGCAACACCCCTCCTTCCTTTTCTTCTTCCTCTGAGCTCTGCTTCTCCTTTGGAGGGCACTCTGAGGGAGAAGGGAGTTGGTCAGGGTCTCCTGGCGCGTCCTCCCGCCTGAAAGCCATAAAGTGTGAGGACGCTGAGGCAGGCAGGGTAGCTTTAAGGAAAGCTGGCCCAGGGCTCACCCTGCCTCGCACGTCCGTGACTCCCGTGACCGTGACCATGAGTGTGTCCGTGCCCATGGCTGTGTCCATGTCCTCCTTTCACATGCCTCACGAACTTCTCCACCACAAGGAAAGCGACAATTCCGCTGAGAACCCACAGTCCCACAGACAGGATGGGGCCTTGGCCTGGGAAGGAAGCATTGGGACATGAAGGGAGCCGCAGATTCCAGACATCTCCTCCTCGAGTGCAGGTGCAGAGGAGGGAGACCTTCCCCAGCACTCCGACCCGGGTCCCGGCCGTCTCTTCCTCACCACTGTGTGAGTGTCCATGTCCGCGCTGCTCCACCGTGTGGTGAGAGTGAGGTTCTGGAGGAAGCCGGGGGACGAGGGGAGCAAAAAAAAAAAAACAACAGATGAGGGGGTACCTGACTCAAAGGGGGAATACTGGAAGGTCACTCTTTTCCCCAAAGAATGGAATAGGTTAATATTTAAGGTAAAATCAGAGGTAACTTACCCAAGGCATGAGGGATGAGGTGCAGGAAAGCATCTCCCAGGAGTCCGCCAGAAGCAAAGCTTAACAAGATTTGCAGCAGAGAACTATGGCGGGGGGAGTTTGACTCCACAGGGATAAGGAAGAGGAAGAAAAACGGCGCTGCAGATATCAGCACTGTGGCCCCCAGTGCCTGGTGGGGAAGAATCAGGTGGTCAAGCGCTGGGTGGTTTCCCAACAAGCAAGAACCAGCCCCTCTCTCCCCCGGCCCCTGGGGACTCACATAGGCCCAGAGAGTGACAGTGTCCAGGTCCTGCTTGATGCCTGGAGCCCCAGACTCCCCATAGCCTCCACGGCTATGCTCATGGTCATGTCCATGTCCTCTGTGGTAGAGGCTCTCATGGGAGTGGCCATGGGAATGGCTATGGCCATGGTGCAAATCCTCATGTGAATGTCCATGGTCGTGACCGTGGGTATGCCCATGCCAGATGCTTTCGTGAGTGTGGCCGTGGCCGTGGCCATGGCCATGGGCATGGCTGTGTCCATGGTGGAAATCCTCATGTGAATGCCTGTGGCTGTGGCCATGGAAGTCCTCTTGCAGGTCCTCGTGCTGGTCGCCATGACCCCCGTGTCCAGCCACCAGCAGACCCAAGGCTGCCCAGGTCAGCAGCCCCATGGCCACCCAGTGGGGGGCCCCCAGGCCTCTGGCCATCACGCTGACCAGAGGGACAGAGACAGTGACTTCACTCGACCTACTGGGGTCCGTTTTATTCCGCTCGCGCCCTCCGTCCACCTCTATGGGCCGCTCCCCCACTCCATTCTGCCCCCACCCCACAGTGTTCCCAAGGCTCGTTCTTCTTTATTCCGATACCACTCCCGGATGGAGGGCCCCCCAGGACACCGCTCTAGGCTTTCATGTGTCACGTTACAGTCTCTCTGGGCCCTTCCTCCCTGACTCACTAGATGGGGAAAAGGCCTGAAAGGGACACAGATAAAGGCAGGAATTCTCACCGGCTGCGGAGTCCTCTCCTTTCGCGGTTTGCTCGGACGTGGCAGTCACGCCTCCAGCTCCCGCGAGAAGAGGGAAGCTCCCCCGGTACCTTTACCAATATGGCGGCACCCAGCACCCCGGCAGCCGCGAAGCCGCCCAGCCCTGACGCGCACGCGCACGAGTGGAGGTTATTCGCGGGGAGGGCGGGCGAGGAGTGCTAACCCGCCAGAGGAGCCCGCCTCCTCCGTTTCCAACTAGACGAGGGGGCGGGAACTAGCGACGAGACTTCCCGTTTGTACAAAGATGGCTGCCACATCGGCGCTGTCATTTTGGTACACAGAAGAGGGAAGCGCCTAATCCGATCCAGTTCAGGCCAGAGTCTTTTTCCTCTGGGACTTACTCGTGCTCAGTTAGTCCCTCGACCACACCTGGGGAGCCCCTGGCACCTCCTCTTCATCCCTACACTCAGCCGGGGACCATGTCTTGGGCCGCTCGCCCGCCCTTCCTCCCCGAGCGGCATGCCGCAGGGCAGTGTGGGCCGGTGGGGGTGCGAAAAGAAATGCATTGTGGGGTCGCGTCCCGGTGGCGGCGGCGACGGCCCTGGCTGGATCCGGCGGCGGCGGCGGCGGCGGCGGCGGCAGTAGCAGCCGGAGAACAACAAACCCCGGAGCCGGAGCCGGGGGAGGCTGGACGGGACGGGATGGGCGACAGCGGGCGGGGTGAGTGTCCTAGCGGACGGGCGGGCGAGCCAGTGACCGCGTTATCTGCAACCCCACCCCACCCCCTCCTCCGGCGCTCGTTCCCTGGCGCTCCCGCCCCCTTGTTTGTAAACACGCGTCCTCTCCCCGCCGAGGGCCTCAGCGCCCTCCCCCCGGGGCGGGGCGGGGAGGGGGAGCTTCCGCCCTTCTGGCCGCGGCCGCTCGAGGCCCAGCACGCGGGCGGGCCCGGGCGCGGGAAGAACGCGCTTCCCCCTGGGCTTGAGAACCCTGGGCAAACGTTTAAAGGCGCATCCTGCGTCCTCGGAAGGGTCTCTTCCGCCTGTGTCTTTCCCCCGCTCGCTGTGGCCGCTCCACGTGCTGCCCCCACCCGCGAGACAGGTCTGGCTTGGGTGACCTGGTTTTCATTCAGATGCATTGATTGGATTTTCCCCCTCTCTGCTCATCACATTTAGGGCGTGTGGAGCGGGATGGGGTGGGTTGGGTGCGATGCGGGATTAGAGAATTAAAGTCTTCAGTTGGATGATGGAACACTCATTCTCTCTCTCTCTCTTTTTTTATCTCTCCTGTCTGTGTGTCTCTGTCTGTGCCCCTCCCTCAGACTCCCGAAGCCCAGACAGCTCCTCCCCAGCCCCCCTTACACAGGGGCTCTCCCCCCCTTCTCCACCTGGGCCACCCCTCCCCGCTTCAGCGGCCCCATCCCTTGGAGGCTCTGGGGCCCCACCCCCACCCCCGATGCCACCCCCTCCACTGGGCTCCCCCTTCCCCGTCATCAGTTCTTCCATGGGGTCCCCTGGCCTGCCCCCTCCAGCTCCCCCAGGATTCTCCGGGCCTGTCAGCAGCCCCCAGGTGAGAGGTTGTGACCCACCTACTGCCTCTCCACTTGCATTTCCTTGGAATCCCAGATCCTTGGGTGGAGTTCCCTGTGGGCACTGACCTCCCAGTCCTCTAACGCTGGCAGGCCTGTGGTCCTTGGGAGCCCCCTTGCCCTTGCGAGGTGACTGATCTTTCAGCACGTTTGCGCCCCACCCCTGTCAGAGAACCCTGACGTTCCCCATGCCCCTTCGTCCTAAATGCCCTTCAGGGCTGCTGTGCTGCACCATCTCGGTGTGGGGAGGGGGGTTGCTGTCCCTACCTCTTTGGGGTTGGGCGCTGGGGCTGGCCCTTCTGGCGAGCTGCAGTGTAAATAGTCTCCCGGAATGTGCAGTGCGGGCCCTGCCAGGTGGTGGGGAGCGATTTCCTTCCCAGTAAGTCTCCCTGTGACTTCCCTGTCTCCCCCCATCCCAGATTAACTCAACAGTGTCGCTCCCTGGGGGTGGGGCTGGCCCCCCTGAAGATGTGAAGCCACCCGTCTTAGGGGTCCGGGGCCTGCACTGTCCACCCCCTCCAGGTGGCCCTGGAGCTGGCAAACGGCTGTGTGCAATCTGCGGGGACAGAAGTTCAGGTATGGCCTGCAGGAGGAAGAGCGGCTGCACCTGCACCCTCCTCTCGGGCGGGTCTCGGACTGGGGTGGAGGCCTGATGAGAGCTCGGATGTGGGGTGCTCAGAGGGGAAGGGGCACTGCTGAAGGGGGGGCGCTGGATAGCCCCTCACTTCCTGGCTCCGCATCTCCGTGTGAGGATTTGGCAAACACAGGGAAGACTTACAGCTGAGTTTTGCCGGAGACTGGCAAGAGACTTCCCGGTGAGGTCTCCACGCAGCCTCCTGATTGCTGTGCCCCCGCCCCTGCAGGCAAACACTACGGGGTCTACAGCTGTGAGGGCTGCAAGGGCTTCTTCAAGCGCACCATCCGCAAGGACCTCACCTACTCGTGCCGCGACAACAAGGACTGCACGGTGGACAAGCGCCAGCGGAACCGCTGTCAGTACTGCCGCTACCAGAAATGCCTGGCCACGGGCATGAAGAGGGAGGGTAAGGACTCTGGGAGGGGAGGGCGGCCTCAGCCTGTGGACCTCGCGGGAGTGGGACTGCTCGCTGTCTCCTCCAGAGGGCGATATTGGACTTCTCTCGCCCCTCTCAGCTCTTCCCCCAGCACCCTGCTCTGTCTCTTGAGTTTCCTTAGTGCTTCGGCCTCTGTGACCTGTCCCCAGTGCCCTAGGGTAGGACAGCTTTGCTCGTGGTGGGCCTCTCTGCCCGCCCTCCTTCCATCTCGCGCTCCTGCCCTGCTGTTTCCTTGTCCCCTGTGGTCCTTCCTCTGAGCCCTGGCTCTCTGTCCTCCCAGGCTGCAGACTTTCCTCAGACCTCAGGGCCTGCCTCCCCTCTCCTCTCTCATTTTCTGATTCCTAGAATTTTGAGAGGGACTTGGCCCAGTCTCTCATTTTAGAGAAGACGGACCAGCGGCCTGGCTTTCCCAAGGTCACACACATCAGGAAAGAGTGGTGGGGCCAGGCTCAGAACCCACAACTCCGAAGACCCAGGCCAGTGCTCTTTTTACTGGCTGTTTATTGGGTCAGAAGAACACAGAAGTCAGTGAGTCGCACTTGAATTCAAACGTGTGGCCTGCCAGGTAGTGTGTCAGCTTAGGGAAGCTCTGTAACGTTTTTGAGCCCTCAGTTCTTCATCTTTGAGAAGAGAAACAAGCACTCACAGGGTTGTTTGGATACACGAGTGAGTGTTAAACGTGCTTACCGTGTTTCTTACGTAGTAGGCCCACTTTAAGTACAGGCTTCCTCCCCAGTCCTCTCATCTTCTTTACTTCCTCTTATTTCTCTGTCCTTTCACAACTTCTGCTTCCAGACTGTCCCCAGCCCAGCACTTCCTATGACTGTGTGCCCAGGGACAGGAGACCCTGCTAAGGCCCTGTGGTATTTTGGGATCCCTTCTTGGCTGGATGCTGACTTCCATTTTCCTTCCTCCCCTTCCCCCTCCACAGCAGTACAAGAGGAGCGCCAGCGGGGCAAGGACAAGGATGGGGATGGGGAGGGGGCTGGGGGAGCCCCCGAGGAGATGCCCGTGGACAGGATCCTGGAGGCAGAGCTTGCTGTGGAGCAGAAGAGTGACCAGGGCGTTGAGGGCCCTGGGGGAACCGGGGGGAGCGGCAGCAGTGTGAGTGATGGGGTCAATTCACCTGTCTTCGTGTTGGGGGCGGGGGGTGGGGGGTCTAGGCCTGGTCCCCGCCCTTCCCCCTCCCTTTCCTGACAACCCTCCTAACTGCTAAACAAGGTGGCTCAGACATCTGAGGTGGCTGTGCCAGCTCCTGCCTTCCCCACTCCCCACACAACCCAGTGGCAGGACCACAGGCAAGTCCCAGACAGATGGCTGTTCACACCAGTGCCGGTCGAGAAGCCTGACTGGTTTAGAGAGGCTAAAGGAAGACCATCCAGGAGAGGGGGTTCCCAGTGCACTGTTAAACCTCCCATGACTCTTCCTTCCCTGTCCCTTGTAGCCAAATGACCCCGTGACTAACATCTGCCAGGCAGCTGACAAACAGCTGTTCACGCTGGTTGAATGGGCGAAGAGGATCCCACACTTTTCCTCCTTGCCTCTGGATGACCAGGTCATACTGCTGCGGGCAGGTCAGTGACCTTGGACCCCTGACCTCTTGACATCTGATCCGCTGACCTTCAGTGACCCCAGTGGCCTCACTTCCCATACTCAGGGAGCCCAGCTTGCCGACCTCCCCACCCTCTGCGTTCTGCTCTGGGCCTGGAGTCCCACGGCCTGACCTCTGCCTCCGACCTTTGCCACCCTCACCCAGGCTGGAACGAGCTCCTCATTGCTTCTTTCTCCCACCGGTCCATTGATGTCCGAGACGGCATCCTCCTCGCCACGGGTCTTCACGTGCATCGCAACTCAGCCCATTCTGCAGGCGTGGGAGCCATCTTTGATCGGTCAGTGGCCTTCGACTGGGCTGACCTTCAGGAAGAGGGGGTGGGGCTATAGGCTGGTCCGTGTCCAAGGCTGGCTGAGCTGTGACCTTTGAGTGACCTGCAGGTCCCTCTCCAGGGTGCTGACAGAGCTAGTGTCCAAAATGCGTGACATGAGGATGGACAAGACAGAGCTTGGCTGCCTGAGGGCAATCATTCTGTTTAATCCAGGTAAGAGGAGCATGCCCCGTCTTCCGAGACCAAGGCAACCTTGGAGCCTCCTCTTCTGCGGGGACTCCTAAATTACCCAGCCAGCCCCCTCAGTAAGACTCAGCCTGGAAACCTCTCTGCTGACCCAGGGAAAGCCCGGGGATATGGGCTATTGTGACCCCCATCCCACTGACCACACGGGCCCTGCCTCTGCTGTCTGATAGAGGCCAGGAGGGGGCGGGGGCCCCTGAAGGGGCATCCTGTGGCCACGGCTCCATGTCTGTCCTGATTGGAGTTGTCTTCCTTCCTCTTTCTCCCTGCCCTGCTGTTCCAGATGCCAAGGGCCTCTCCAACCCCAGCGAGGTGGAGGTCCTACGGGAGAAGGTGTACGCCTCCTTGGAGACCTACTGCAAACAGAAGTACCCCGAGCAGCAGGGACGGTGAGCCGTGGTGGTGGGGCTGACAGCCACGAGGGCTGACGCGAGGCCTGGTGCTTCTAGCCCTCACTCCCCTCCTCTCACCTCCACCTCAGGTTTGCCAAGCTGCTGCTTCGTCTTCCTGCTCTCCGCTCCATCGGCCTTAAGTGTCTAGAACATCTGTTTTTCTTCAAGCTCATTGGCGACACCCCCATCGACACCTTCCTCATGGAGATGCTTGAAGCTCCCCACCAGCTGGCCTGAGCCCGGACCCAGACCCAGCACTCCTCGCCTGCGGCGTGCGCCGGGGGTGGGGCCATGTTCCCAGATGGAACCTCGGAGGGGTGAGGGGTGCTGAGCAGAACCGAGACCTGCGACAGGATCCATAAACCCTGCGAGGGTTTCCTTGGTGTCCCGTCGGAGGGGACCCCAGCTCCCTGTGGGGACTGGACGTCTCCCTTCAATGGCCTTGAGTCTTCGAAGTTGTTATGGTCTGCCATGATTTGGGGTGATTTCTCACCTCCATGTTCCCCAGCACAAAGCACTGGCCCTGCTCCTGGGACTGTCTCCTTGTCCCCTTGCCTCACTTTGTTCCCCGTGTGAAGAGTGGAAATGGGGGTTGGGGGGCAGGCCCCCCAAGCTGAAGGGCATGAGAGTAGGGCTGCGTCAGGCCTTCCTCTTCCTGGAGCTGCAGGTGGGGGCCTCTCTGGAAGAGGACGAGGGCCTGTCCCAGTTCTGCCAAGAGCCCCTTTCACACTTCAGCTCCTGAAGTCAGACTGAAAAATCAAAAAGGTGGTGGTGGTTAAGGGGTTGGTGGAGATGCAGAAACCGGTCTATTTTTAATTTCCTCTGAGGACAGAGACTTGTAGTCAGATTCAAAGAAGTACTGTACTTGCCCAGGTTGACTAAGAAATGCCAGTGGTGGCGGTGGGTGTTGGGGTCTGTGTCCTTGACTCCCCTGCTCCACGTCTTTCAGGCTAACTTGGGGAAGCGGCCTGGGCCAGCGGGGATGGTTTGAGTGTGGTGCCTGGGCCCTTCTCTGCGGCTGTCCGGCCTGGGGCGACACGGCACAGGCTGAGCTCCCAGGCTCCTTGAGGGGAGGTGGGCAGCCTGCAGAGAGGGGGTGCTGGGGCTGCATGACGCTTTGCCCTGCATTTCATCTCTTTGGGGTTTCTTTCCCCTCTTTCACTCACACATAAAATCGCTTTCAAATTAAAAATGCTGTTTTCTTGGACTGAGGTGACTGGGGGTGGGCCTCGGTGTGTAGTGGGGGTGCCCAGTTGGGAGTGCAGGACGGGCTCCTTTTCCCTTGCCGCCCCAGGTTCCCTGGGGCCCGAGAGGCAAGCGCAGGGTGGGGGACACAAGGCGCGCTTTGTCGGGGAGGGGGGAGAAGGTGTGCCAGGCTGGGGGCGGGGCCGCCCGGAGGAGGGAGGGGGGCGGCCGGTTCTCAAAGGCGCCTTGTTCGCCGGTGCCCTCCCAGCGCCAGCGGGCGGCGGCGCCGAGGCTCGCCCAGGCCTTCCCTCCGGCCGCGCCGCGGGCTCCGGGCAGACCCGGCGCCGTGCCCGTTCGTGGGGGCGCGCTGGGCGCCGAACGCGGCCGTCGCAGCTTGCCTGAAGACGGGCCTGCGTCCCCGGGTGACCCCGTTGCCCAGATCCCCCGGCAGAGCTGACGACCCCCTCTCTACCTGGGGCTCGCACTCCCCTTACCTCGTTGCCCAATCTCCATTCCCTCGGAGCTGACCAGCCTGTTTGTCCCAGTCTCTGGCCTCTCTCTGCCTCCAGCCGGCACCCCCCCGCCCCGCCCCCGACCGGCAGCCCCCAAAACCAGTTAGTTGCTATCTATAGCCTGGTCTATAAATACCCCGCCCCAGGCCTTCTCTGTAATTACACGGGGCGGGCCGAGGGAGGTAATTACGGAGACCTGATTACGGGTCGCGTGGGGGGTGGGGTGTCGACCCCCAGGCCCGCCTCTCCCCTCCCACCGTACCCTAGGTTCCGCCCAGGCTTCCGCTGAGAAGGGGGCTCTGGGCTGTCGGGGCGAGGGGGCTGGGGAAGGGGTGTGACTGGACGTTTGGGTCTGTGAAAGGCAAGGGGCTAGGGGTAGCTAGTCCTATTTGGGATTACCGAAGAGGGAAATTTAGGGTACTCAGGAGCAGGGCAGAGCGGTCCAAGGGTCGCCGAGAAAAAGGGAGGGAAGGAGGGAGAGTGTTCCTGCCCGCGCACCCCAGGTGTAGCGCGGGGGTGGGGTTTCCCCTCTGGCTGTGGGCGGGCAGCTGCGGCAGGGGCCGGGCGGGGGCGGGGGCGGAGTGGGGGCTCTGGGCCGTAGGGGTGGCCGGGGACACACAGGAGCGGCGGCCACCGAGGAGGGAGCAGCGCCCGAGCCCCGACGGCACCTGGCTGCATGGAGCTGGTCCCCTGAAAGCTGTCGCCTCCGGACAGTCTCTGACCTCCCTAGGACGCCTGGGTAGAGGCTAACAGCGGGCTCACTGTCCGCTGTCAGCCACTGGGCGTCCAGCGCCTCCGGCCGGCCCCGGGTCCCTGGGACCTGGCCTTCGGGTGGCCGGACCATGGAGCCGTGCAACCGCTGCCATCACTTCTTCTTGCTCCTACCTCTGGTGCTGGGGCTGAGCGCCCTCCCAGCCTGGGCAGGTAAGAGGAGTCACAGCCTGGGTGGTGGGAGTCAGGCTGGGGCCCCGAGGGTTCCGGGAGAGTGGTCTGCTGATGCCTGCCTGCATCAGGAGCTTGGCAGCCTAGAAATGGGGTTTGGACATCAGAGGTGTGGGCTGGAGGGCAAGATGTTTTGGTTCCTTAGAGCCAGGGCAGGGATTGAAGTATCTGGCAGAGGGCAGGTAAGGCGGAAAGGTGGAGGTCCACCCTGCAGGGTGGGTGGGCCGCACGCCTGTCCTGGGTCCTGGGGAGGAGCTGAGATGGCCAGGGCCAGTCTGGTCCAGGCGTTGCTGCTGTCCAGGGATTGTGTTGTGTTGATGGGTGATGAAGTGCTCCCCAGGGAGCTTTCCAGCTACGGGATGCCAGGGAGCATCGGTGGGTCAGAGCGGAGCACCGGGATGCCTCAACTGTCTGTCCCATTGGTTTCCCGGACAGGGCCCCCCTTCCTGTGCCCTCGATGCTGCCACGCGGCTGGCTCTGGGGAGCACTGGGGCCGGCTGCCAACAGGACGGCGGCCGGACAGGCTGGGATCAGGTGTCTGAGGCCAGAGCCAGGGCTTTGCATTCCTGCCCCTCCCCTCCCCCTCTGGCCAGCCTGGCTCCCCCGGGACCCTGGTGTCCATAACCTCAATCTTTTCCTTCTCTTTCCCAGGGCTGTGAAGTCCTGACTTCTAGGCAAGGGGATTTGATGTCAGAGAGGAGGGACTGAGAGCACTGGGTCCCTGGCCAGCTGGAGCAAGCCTCCCACCCCAACTCCTGGAAACAGTTGGGGGGGGGTGATTTGACTATTCATTTCTGCTTTGCTCTGCAGAGACAATGGTCTGAATGGCTGCATAAATGATTTAGATTAAACTAGAGAAGGAAGATCTTCCAAGATGTGACAAGTGCGAGCCTCAGGGACAGGGAGCTAAAGTGTATGAGGTCTGAGAACCCCCTGGTGTGGAGGCTGGGGGATGGCCAAGATGACCATCTGTTATTTCAGGGTGAATGGGTTGAGGAAACAGGTTCCTGTGGAATTCCTAACATCACAGAATAAGGCGATGTGTGTGCGTGGGGGGCAGAGGTCAAGTGGTGAAGGGCAGGTGAGGCCCAGGCCCCGGGACAGGGACGGGGCCGAGGCTTGGAGATGGCGGGCAGGCCTATGGGTAGGTTGTCCTTAGGATCCAGCTGTGCTGTCCTGGGTTTTGGTGGTTGACGGGTGGGGGGGCAGCTCTGAGGTCTCTTTGGCCTGGGGTCTCTGTGAGTCTCTGTGTCTCTGTCTCACTCACCCTCCATCTCTCAAAGCGGCCCTTGTGTGACGGTGTTTGCGGAGCTGCCACCCGCGCCGGGGCCAGGCTTGGGCGGGAGGTGTGGGAGGGGGCAAGGCCGTGGTTTCCCGGCTCCTGGACTCAAAGGGCCTTTTCTCTGCCTGCCCGCCCCACCTCACCCACCCCACCCAGCTCTGCTCTCCTGATCGCCCTGCCCCACGCTTCTCTGAAAGTTTTGCTGGAGTCCTCCTTGGGATTTTTCCAGCCTGGAGCTGAGGGGGTGAGGAGTATGTTGGGGAGTGAGTGAGGGCATTTGGGGCCTGAGAAGCTGACCTCGAGGTAGACAGGGCTGGTGGCCAGGTCTGCGCTCTCTGGATGCTGCGTGGTGGGGGTGTCGGGGCAGGGTCAAGGTTCCAGGTGTGGGGAGCTTGCCCGGGCTTTGGGTGAGGACTCTGATGTGATCCACAGATGTGTGGCTCGGGGCCCTGGACCTGCTCTGGCTCTGCGTGGCAGCTTCAGCCCCCCCACTCCCACTGCTCAGCCCCTCTCCTAAGTCAGGGGCCACAGGCTCCCGGGCCGGCTCTTTCTTGTATCTCCTTCCTCAGCACTTGCTGGACTCTGTCCTCCCTCCCTGCCCCCTCTCCCCACAGAGCCTGGCATCCGTAGCAGCTTTGAAGCCCCCTCCCAAGGAGCCTGCTTTCTGCTCTCTTCCTGGTGGCTCCCTGCCCCTGCCGTGCCCAGGGTGATCTATTGCCCAGATGTTGTTTGTGCTGGAGACGGGACAGATGCCAGAGACTGGGAGATACAGAAAAGGGAGCGAGGGAGAGGGAAACAGACAAAGAAGATGATGGATAGAATGTGAGGGCCGTGGAAGAAGAAAGACGGGAAAGACAGAAAGACCAACATGTACAGAGACAGAGAGTGAGAGGGGAGGAGAGCTGAGAGAGAGATTCAGAGACATGATAGAAAGAGACAGGTTCACAGGCTGCAAGGCAGAGGTGCAGGGGGAGCGGGAGAGGGGCAGGAGTGGGCGTGCAGTTGGGCACCAGGCTGGTGCTGCCCTTCCCTGCGGGTGACTTTGCGTCTCCCAACCAGTCAGGAGCCCTAGAGAGCTGAGTTCCCTGTGTAGGTCTCCTGCGCAGGGCTTATCCCTCCCCTGCAGCTCATGGTCTCTCCCAGGTGCACCGCCTGTGGACGTGCTCCGAGCCCTGAGGTTCCCCTCACTCCCTGATGGTGTCCGGAGGACAAGAGGCATCTGTCCGGCGGATGTGGCCTACCGAGTGTCCCGGCCTGCCCAGCTCAGCGCGCCCACCCGCCAGCTCTTCCCAGGTTTGGGTGATGAGGTGGGGGAGGGGGCTGTGGGTCCAGGATCAGACTCCAGAAGGGAAGGGCGTGTGGCTCTTCTGGCCTCTAACTCCACTTTTGTGTGTCTTTCTCGGGTACCAGGAGGCTTTCCCAAAGATTTCTCTCTGCTGACTGTTGTCCGGACCCGCCCTGGTCTCCAGGCTGCCCTGCTCACTCTCTATAGTGCCCAGGGCACCCGACAGCTGGGCCTGGAGCTGGGCCGACCCGTCCGCTTTCTCTATGAGGACCAGACTGGACGGCCGCAACCGCCGGCTCAGCCGGTCTTCAGAGGCCTCAGCCTAGCAGATGGCAAGTAAGTCAGCTTGCTTGGTCTCTGGCCTGCCTGGCCCACACCTCAGGAGAGAGCGCCCCAGAACCCCCACTGCTTAAACCCTGCCCATCCTTCTGGCGACACCGCGCCTAGCCCCTACCCCAATTCGATCCCTTCCAGCCCACGCACGGTTTGCGCTTTAGAGTTGCATCCCAGCTGTTCATGTAATCCTAGCCTGTACCCTGGAAAAATCACTTACATTTTTTGAACTTATCTCTTTCTCTTCTTTTCTTTCTTTTTTTCTTTTTTTTTTTTTTTTTAAAGATTTATTTACTTGAAGGGCAGAATGGCAGGAGGGAGAGATGAAGGGAGAGAGATTCACTGGTTCACTCTCCAAATGCCTTTAATAGCCAGGGCCAGGCCAGGCCAGAGTCAGGAGCTAGGAGCTCCATCCAGGTCTCCCACGGGGTGGCAGGGACCCAAGCACTTGGACTACCACCACCTGCCTTTCAGCTCCATTAGCAGGAAGCTGGACCAGAAGCAATGGAGTAGCTGGGACTCGAACCAGGCACTCTGATATGGGCTGTGGTTATCCCAGGCAGAGGCTTAGCCTGCTGTGATACAACATACACCCTGAGCCTCAGTTTCTATGTCTGTAAAGTAAAGACAATAGAATCGTCACAGTCTAATGA